CCGGTTTCAACAGAAGAAAATAGAATTACACGTCTTTGGTTATTGTAACCAAAGACAATATATATCACCATAATGCTCAGGCGACAAGATGCCAATGTGTAAAACAAATGTCATGCCACATTGATTTAAAAAAAACTTGAAGCAAGGCAGGAAATCACCGTGGTGTCATACAGTATGCTTTCTATAGTAAGTATTTCAGGGTTCCTAATGGAGCATGTTATTTATTTATTCTTTTTATGGTTGTCAAAAAAAAACGAGGAAATTCAAAATTATAAAGAACTATGTAATTTTGCATGAATATGAGAGATACAATTCAGCTAGCTCTGTCATGGGCTGAATCACAGGCTTAACAGTACGGCATTGGGTGAGACACAGAAAATCAAACACAAGGCAAGACTCTTCCTTGAATTAACAAATTTAGAGGACAGAAACTTAGCTCTTATTTGAAAACATTAAATTATGGAGGCTTAGATGTTAAAGCATCGCTCTACTAGCAGTGGAAAAGGTAAATATGAAAGCAAAAGAACCAGCTCCCAAGAGCCCAGTTCATAACGCACGCAAGGCAAGTTTCTTTTGTGCACTGTCCATTAAGATAATTTTGTAGGAGAATGAATCAACCTGTCTCATAATTCTCAAACATAGAAATACATATTCTGGTATTTGCAAACTATGAAAGACTATATAATTATCTGGTCACTAGCATATATAGCGAATGGTAATTTCTACGTATGTAACTTCTCACACAGACTGTACCTGCTGAAGGGCCAATATATTGTTTCTGTCAACATCAAGTTGGGCCATTTTCATTTTCTCTTTCAAGTCAAATAACATTTGCTGATGTTCTAGGAGTTCATCATCTTTTGAAGCTAAGATTTTCTTAAAAGAAAATAGAATACCATCAGAAGACTTGAAATAATTCCTAAAAACAATTTTAGAAGTATTAAAAAGTACCTTCCATTCTTCAAGAAAAAAAAATAGAATACCATCAGTAGACTTGAAATAATTCCTAAAAACAATTTCAGAAGTATTAAAAAGTACCTTCCATTCTTCAACTTTTGCATTTACAGCTGCTATGAGCGGATCATCTTCCTCATTTTTGGCTTTCAGCTGGTCTGAAAGCTCTCGAACCTAGAAATGACATTTTGTTGAATATCATATCACAAAAATGTTTTGCTTAACCAACATATACGTACATCCACACTACATTAAGCATATACAATTTAACAGATCAGCCTTACAGCAGAAAAAGAAGGTCACAACTCTGAAGAACAGTATATGATTAACATTTTGTACAAACAAATTTTGTGATCTGAAGTCAAGTTTTAAAATTTGGACCAAGACCAAACGTAAAGATCATACTACCTTTATAGAGTGTTATTTCAGCAGAACACACATTGAACATTTTTTATTTAAGATAAAATATGAAAATACACTATAAACGCCCCCAAAATTACACTTCTTACTTGCAATTTGTACTGTTCTTTCTCTTTTTTTAACTGATCCATAACAATATCAGACTGCTGCACAATTACTTTCATTTTGTTATATTCATCAGTCATCTTCTCCATTTCTTGCACTGATTCCTCAAGATTCTTCCTCATTTCTTGGTTTTGAATATCTAACTTCTCATTAGCTTCTGTCAAATTCTGCAAAATTAAAGAAAAAGCTGCTTTTTAAAAGTGCACATCTTAATACTTGAACAAGCACTAATTGATAGCTTCCTTCAAAGTCTTACATGAAATTAACACAGAAGAGAGTATTTCACCTCTGGGTCATCAATTTCAAGAAATCCTAAAAGCAAATAAAAGACACATTTCCCACTGTCAGCAGCTTCATAACCTCTGCCAGACTTAGAGGTGCAGAGTACATGCACCACAGAATGCAACTTCATTGCAAATTCCTTTACTTCATATGACTTGACCTGTAAATCAACATTGTTTTGTGAAAAACACTACTGTCAGTAACAGTCTCATCAACACTCAATAGAATGCATTGACCTTACCTGAATTTCATCCAAATACTGGACAAGCTCAAAGTTCTTTTTGGACAACTGTGACCTGTAATCAGAATCCTCTCCTCTTCGCGACAGAATTGTTTCTTTTTGAGAATCTATTTGCCTCTGATAGTCAACCACATCCTGACGCAACTGTTCATTCTGCATAGAAAGCAATTCCAAACTTAAATCCATCTTGAAGAGCTGAAGACAAAGTTGATGCTTTTCTAGCAAACTAACACCGAGAGCTAAGACACTCAAAATCCATCCAAATTCCTACAGCGTGCTTTTAAAAAACATACAAGCCTCACCTTTTTCTTTATGCGTTTTTTCTTCGGATTAAAAAGGAGAGTACAAGACCAAGAGAACAAAGCATGAAAAATATTAGAAATTATCATTGCTTTTAGAAGACCAAATAGGAATCAACACAGAGGTGAAATAGAGTTTCCTATATACCTGTGCACATGCATACACACGTAAGTTAAAGGCTGTTTTGAGCAATTATTCTCAAGGTTACTCCCAGGACATAAATTCAACTTTTGCCATCTCTTTTATTCTCACAGAAGGAAAGATTACAGGTATTAAATACTTTAAAACACTCATTTTTTTTCTAAAAAATGCTAGAGAAAAGGTTTCAAGAGAACGATTTAAAAAAAAACCTACTAACCCTATCTTTGTATTTTTTTTGTTATATTAACTTTCGACTTCTTGCAATTTTACTTTAACCAATCAGAAAATCTTAGTAAAAGTAGCAAGCATAAACTGAATCCTGTTTAATATATGCCAAACCTATGCATCAACAGTATTTAAGGATAACAATAAAAATTCAAACCACAAAACTCAGACAAAATTAACACAGTATGACTATATAAACTCAAAAGTTAAGACTTCTTAACCTCAATTAACTAAGTTTCAGTGGAGCAGACGTACTATGTATTTGTTAAATATGTTTAAATTCCACAGTCTTTGAACTAGTAACCAGAAAATGTTCTAAACCAAAATTAAATATATATAAAAAGTTAAAGAATACAGTAAATCAGCAATAATTCTTTACTAACCTCTCTCCTTAATTTGATGTTTTCATTTTCAGTATCTTCATTTCGAAGAGCAAGCTAGAATAGGATGGAAAACTTTTATGTATATCACTAATAGCGCAAACTATTAAAACAAGAAACTCCAGAAACGAATGCAAAGCAGTCCTATTTCATCAGTGTATTTTGTAGGTTTTTTTTTTTAATTTCGGAGGCTCCTTTCAGAACACTGACTTTACAGAAGATATGCCGGAACAGCTTTTAAAGATATCAAGCTGAACTCCTTTTTACCTGTTCATTCACTTTCTTCTCTTTTTCCAGTTCTTTTTCTGTATCTGTCAACCGTCTCTCTTTTTGCTCTAATTGTTTTTCCAGTTGGCGGATCTCATCACGCAGAAAACGAGTATCACGACCACCAGCTGATTTTTGTGCCATCTTGAAATCATTAAATAACATAAATATAGTATAGTTCTTCAAAACAGAAAGTACTAAAAAAAACCAAAGCAGTTGCTAAGATTAATGTTCCTAGCATTCAGGAAAAGCAACAGGAGGGGGTCACTAGGTTCTTTCAGCAAAACCTAGAAAACTCTAACAATAAATGGAATTTACTCAAGTATAAAAAAATTCATTATACATACAGCTATTTGCAAATTTCAGGTCGGT